CAGAGGGACAAAGAAGCGCTTCAAGGAGCCGCGCAGCGAACAAAGCAGTGCAGGATTCCCTATGGCGGATAGGTGCACCCTGCCACTCACGACCGCACAGCTGACACGGCTTTTCAAGTGCAAGTTTGTCGGTTCTGCACTCAGCAATGACCTGTTTAATAAGAGCCGAATGTTCCTTATGTTTTTGTGTCATGTGTTTCTTGACTTGTCCACTGGCTTAGCTACCCACAGGTGACACAAAGGACAATGCTCTAGAGCTACTTGCCTGAAGCCTGGCGAACGAGCGAGAGATAGCCAGCCTCCCTGTTGCAGGTATTGCAAGGTAGTCTCGCGGTCCCTCAACGGTGTACATGAAGTGTCCGCACTTTTGGGGAGCGGCGGCAAGTGCGTCTGCCCGTAATCACGAGCCGAAGTGGTGACACCGTGAAGAACAGGGCATGCCTGCGCCATGATGTGATTCCTAAATTGCGGGACCCCCGTAAACGCACGCATACAATGCTTGCATGTTGGCATGCCTGCCCAGGAGTGGTCCTCGAACCGAAAAGTTTGGACCTTTTGCATGGCCAATTCACGCTCGGACAAACCGTGTTTCAGAGTCATGTGATACCGAAGCCCAGGCGTGTTTTCAGCACAGTAGCCACAGATGGGGCACCTGAAATCAGCATGAGCCATAGCAGAGGGATGTGCAATCACAGCTCTGTCAGCAACATCAGAGGACGAGGCCGAAGCACTGTTCAGAGCCTGGCTGGTAGGGTCCTGTGGTGGAGACAAGACAGCAGGGGCAGCAGCAACACCGGCAACGACAGAGTCATCGCGGTTAGCAGCATTGTCAGGAGCCGGCGGATCTGCCACAAGCAGGGCAGAAGTATCACACAACGTCCCCTGTACCTGAATACCCAATGTAGCGCATGGCGCGTTCGAGTCTGCAGTAAGCTCATCCTGGCCTGAAGCCGAGCGGCAGCGATCAGCGCTGGCAGGTACCACATCCCAGTCCTGATCAGCCAGTGCAGGCTCAGTGACTGGGGCTTCAGTTGAGTTGTCAGCGAGGTCGGGCGCAGGCACGGTTACCACCGCGGTCTGTGTGGGCAGGGGATCACCCGGCACTTTGATGGTGGCCAGTACCTGCGTCCACATGTCAGCAAGGTCATCTGGTTGAATGCGAAAGACCGCCTGCTGCGCAGTCATGCGATGACGAGCTTCAGTGGCCTTGGCCAAGGCCTGCACAGGGCAGTCAACCCCAACCCGAACCAGTAGGGCTTCGGTGCTCTCGCGCGTGAGATGAACTGGACTGTCACAGATGGCACGCAATTGGCGAATGAAGAGTGCACGGTACCTACCGAGACTCATTTGATCAAACCCCGTGCTACTGATGCCATACCGGAGTGTACTGTGAACC